GTCTTCAATATGGATTGAAGCTCAATATCAAGAAAACAAATATTCTCACCACTGGACCAATTGGCAGCATCAGTATAGATGGGTGAAGAGATTGAGATAGGTAACAGTTTTTGTTTACTTGGTTCCACAGTCAACACTCTTGTTAACAGCAGCCCGGAAATCAGGAGACGAATTGCATTAGGAAAGTTAGCTATGAGGGACCTCTCAAGAGTACTGAAGTGCAACGACGTCAGGCTGGAGGCTAAGGTGTGCCTGATCCAGGCTATAGTCTTTGCAATTACATGCTATGTATTGGCGAGTTGGACAGTGAATAAGGATGATAGGAAGAGAATTGATGCCTTTGAATTGTGGTGCTGGAGAAGAGGGTTGAATATACCATGGACTGCTAAGAGAACAAAAAGATTTGTCCTGGAGAGGGTGGAGCCAGAATGTTCCCTGGAGTCAAGGATTCTGAAGCTTCGTCTGACGTAGTTTGGGGATGTTGCAAGGTGGGACTGGTCCTTGGAGAGGGACATCATCTTTGGGAATGTGGAGGGACGGCGCAGGAGAGGAGGACCCTCGATGAGATGGATCGATTCTGTGAGTGGAGTGGTGGGAATGAATGTGTTTGAGACAGCGAGGTTGGCACAGGATATAACGGCATTTAGGGCTCTTGTACATAGGGTCGCTATGAGTCGCAAACGACTCTTTGGCACATAACAACAACAAACAACAGTTCTCATGGCAAAGTAGGCAATTCCTCATAGAAGCGCTTAGCTACATATTTCATGTCTCCTTCTATTTCCAACTTTTTCTTTTTTGTGCCTTGGATGACGTCTTGCAAGATTTTAAGATCCCAGGCACTATGTCCTGACCTCAAGGGGAGTATAGAATCATTAAACACAGTGCACGTTACGCCATTTAGCTGGTATGTCTCTGTGATTTGGCCTTGCCCATATGCATTAGACAACTTGACATCTTTCTGTATTAAAGGTGATATTTTCTTGGAGGAATTTGAGATGGCTGAGTGATGTGCATGAGATTGAGGTAGTATTTCTGTTTGGAGAATAACAAGAGGGAGAGATGGTTAACCAAATGCAATGGGAAGTACTGGAAACCTCTCTTGGCTGTAAAGTACACATACAATGATTTGTCAGAAGAAGGAATGTCAGGTAACCATTTTTACTGTCCCTTTCTATATAAACTTAGAGCCACACAATTTTTGGGTTAATTCTGCTAATGTCGCTCAGGGTTGAGACCCTAGCCCTAAGGACCAGTTTTATAATTCTGCCCAGGAATTCATCAACTCTCAAGGATCTCTATGCATACAGATTAATTTCAAAGGTTTCCGAACTGGATGTAAAACAAGGTTGTTTTTTTTCC